AAGCAATTGCGACGGGCTTCCCTTATTAACGAGGAATATCGAAGAGAGAACCACATCCTGAATTACATCGCGAGAAATTGCGCGGTCGGCCGGGCGAGAAGATTAAGCGCCGGGCCGATATTAAGTGTCCCTGTTCGCGGATACTTCATCCGAAAATTCATTGGCGTGCCTTTCGAACTCCATTTATAGGCACAATGGAGCATTAAGACTGAAATAATACCCCTAACAAATCAAGTGCTTATAAAGCCATAACACAAAATTCTCCTGCCCTTATTCAATATCAAAATTTTATATTCATCTCGCGGAAACTAGACGAAAGTCTTTTAGACTCTACCAAGTACGAAGCTTTTCAAATATATCATTTATTCTATGTGGTACATTAAGAAGATAATTCATTATTCTTCGTATCTTCGACATTCATATTAAAGCAACAATTTTGCTGTGATACAGACATATTTCTCGCGAATTGCATTAGAAAAATGTAAACTGCATCGCATTCATCGCAAAATGAGGTACTTGCGAATTTAGTTTACTACTGCGAATAATAAATTAAAGATACATCGTTGACCATCGCTAACAGTCACAAAATTAACTCACTAACAAGTTAAGAAAACATTCTAGTTCACACAATTGCAACAAACAGCTTCTACCAATTCCTTTCATCCGACCCACCGACAAACTCAACAAGAAACGTTCTGCTTCCCACGATTACACCAAACAACTCTCACGAAATCCTTACATCCAACCCACCAACAAAGTCAAAAAGAAACATTCTAGTCCCTACAATTACTCCAAACAACTCCCGCTAAATCCTCTCACCCCAAAAGTAACCCGGTCAAAGCAATAACTGTCAATGCCCTCCAAAAGCGTTAAACGTTGAATGCACAGGTTAATTCAGTCCATCGTGAAAATTGAAATACCCAGCGTCATCGTTCCTTGATATTCCTTTCAAGCCGGCGACTCAGCGTCCAGCTTGTCCGTAATTTGTTTACCAGGCATCGAGGCCGGGCCGCGCGCGCGTTTCCGGCACGAAAGGGACGTCACGCGCGACAACGAAAATCGGGACGCGGCGACCCGGCCTGTTGGAACTCCGGTCGCAGACGGGATATTAAGCACACACGGGCCGCCGAGTCCCGGGACCATTGCTCAGCCGTGTCGCGAACT